TCTATTCCATTGATCTATGTGTCTGTCATTGTACCAGTACCATGCTGTCTTGACTATCACGGCAGTGTAGTAGGATTTTAAGTCAGGGAGTGAGATGCCTCCTATCGTTTTTCTCTTTTTAAAGAGTGCCAAATCTATTCTTAAGATGGTATTTTTAAGTCCAGATGGGATAAACTCAAGATAATATTTTGGTTCTTGTGGACTTAATTTTACTCATCCTCTATTTGAGTTTACATGTGAGCAATTGATGATCTGTTACACAGTCAGAAACAGGCCTTGTTTTGACAGTTGATATTTTGCTTCTCCAACTAATCCTTCCACAAATGGAGTCAGTCTGATTTCTATGCTATCTCTCTGGTGAGGTTCATGTATATAGTTTGCATTTGTATCTTTTAAAAGAAGGTATTTGCAATGAATATGCCATTGGACAAAACAACTCCATCATTCTAATTCTAGCCTCCTTTCTATCAACAAGCCCATACTTTCTGGTTACATTTTCTTCTTCATTGCTTCCCATTTTGTATGCCAGTCACCAATTATCATTAACACACCTTGATTATATATTTGGCCAATTTCAGACTACAAAGCTTGGTAAAAATCTTCAATTTCCTTCTCTTTGGCTTTAGCTGTTAATGTATATACTTGAATAATGGTCATAGTAAGTGTCCTTGTATGTGTATGCGTATGAATAATATGCTATCACTAACAACATTGTAGTTCAGGATAGAGCTTGAAATTGTCTTTTTTATCTGTAACTATAACACCTTTCTTCCTCTGGTTTTTATTTCTGGTGTAATATACTATGTGGTTGTCTGATTCACAGTGACCAAACAAATCAATGTCACCTCAATAAAGTCTAGAATGCTGATGTTCATTTTTTCACAATTTCTAGTTTCCCGACATTCATATTTTGCACATTCCATGTTCCAACAATTAAAGGATGTTTACAGCACTTTTTCCTCATTTTGTTTGACTTTCAATCTAGGTTTTACTTCTAATACTATAATTATCTTTGTTCTTCTATTCATAGGATTTTCAGAGTTCTCCTATTTCAAAAGTGGATGACCAATTCAGCTTCCTAGCAATCTTTTTTTTATTTTTAATAATTTTAATGAACATTTACAGAGATTTTGGATTTCCATTCATTCACTGTTGCACTTTTCTCCCTGCCCAGCCCTCTCCCCCGCCCCCCGCCCCAGTTCGCTCCTCTCTTTGAAACGTAAAAGAAAAATTCTTTCTTTGATATACAATCCCCCCGCACCCCTCCCACTGCCCCAAGTACACTCCACTATGCAACCTTAATTGTGGACTCCTATGCAATCTTAATACGGGAGCTCTACTAAAATCTGTCCACTGTGATAAGGTAAGAGAGGTGGAAAATACAGAAACTGTGTAAGCTAAAATATGAAGTTATCAGTAAAAGAATGATCATAAAAACAGAAATAAAACTGCAAATTATTGAAATAACTAAAAAGTAGAATAAATTCATGAAGTTCAGAAAATACATAGTATACAGCACAAAGCTTTATGTAGCAGATGAGAATTCAGGTTTTCTCACTCCAAGAAGAAATTAGGCAAAGATATATACAAAGAATGTTTAATTTCATTTTTAGTAGTATAGTACATGTTAAAATGAGAATTTTAAAATGGTTTCTATCAATCTGTTACTATTCCAGTAGATACTAAATGGATAAAGTTCATTAAATCAAGTTTCATATTACAGAGTAATTTTGTTTCTTATTGTTTATATTTTTTTATAAGGAAAGGGAAAAAACAACTATCATTTTAGGTATACTTGAGCATAAATTCAGTGTGTAGATTATAAACATAAATTGTCATTTTACGAGGGAAATTATAAAAACAAATAAGCACAATGATGATGTTATTATTATCATTATTATTATTTATTATTATTACCTGAGTCTTGATTTTTCTTTTCCATAAGCAACATGTTGTGAACAGATTCTGTTTGATATAGTGGTCAAAAGTGATAAATGTTTAACCTGTAGTCTCTATAAAAACAAACAAAAGATCTTATTAGATGGTCATAATTTATTGAAAGTAATATGCAAGAATGGAAAAAATAGAGAATACTAACTTTGTATATTGTATAAATATAAAACTAAAATGTGGCCAAAGGCAAGCAGTGAGATTTCTTTTTTTTCTATAGATGATTTATAATTTTCTAATTAAGCAAATGCCAGGGAAGCCTTTTAGAATTGCTACAAATTCCAGAATCAAATTGCTACATGTTCAAAAGAAATTTTATCAAAAGAAGAAAGAGAAAATGGGAATGATACTAATATAGTACATAGGTGTAAAAGCAATTAATAATGAAATTTCTAATTCAAAATTGGAGAAATTACGGTCTATGTCCAAAAAAAATCAGGCATTGAAAATCTTGTGAAGTAAGCATACTTTGGTACATGGGGTCATCATGAGCTGAAACAACTTCAAGATAAGTGACTTACTACTTATACGATGTATAAAATAATACTCACCTCTTTCAAAAAGCATGCATTTGGATTTGAAGAAGTGCAGCAGGATCCCACCATAGAAAGATAACTCTTCACATAACTGACTAAAAGTAGTAGAGGTGCTTGTCCATAGTTAACAGAATAGTCATATATAAATCTGGGGGGGGGGAAGCAGCAACATTGTCAAAATAAGCTATTTTTTTCAGAAGTATTTTGATAATGAAAAGTGCATATTACAGGAATTCATGACTTTACCATCTAAAAATTACTAAGGATTTTAAAAGTTGTAATACTGAAGCCATTTTAATTAATGTTTTAGTTTGGAAAATATTTGTTCTTCCCTCAATTCCCAGGTAACTTGCTTTAGTGGAGGAGCTCTTTGCTCTTATAGACTTAGCTTTTTGCCAAGCAATTGCTTTTTTGATGTTGTTTGAGTTAATGAAGAGAAATGTAATTTATGTACTTTAGTTTGTGATCCTAGACAATAGCTTTATATAGACTTTATGTTAAAAGAATATTTTTTAAAAACTTTCAACAGGTTGAGCCCTTATCTCAAACTTGCTGCCATAGAGTTAATTCTGACTCATAAGTGACCCTCCACTGGGTTTTCAGGCTGTAATCTCAATGGGAAGGAACTGCCCACCTGTCTTCTGCGGATTCTCTGTTCAGTTCAACCCAAGATAAAAATACCAAATCTTGATTAGCAGTGAGACACACGAAGGAGTATATCACGTTTCCCTAAACAGCTTTGTAATCTTATGCAAAATGCATTTTAAAAATGAACAAGGATGTGCAAACAAGCCACTTTTTAGTGAAATCTTAACTGTGATTTTACACACTTAAAACTGCCTTGAATAGTTTGACATTGCTTTTAATATCTGTAGACCTATTGAATGGGTTTTTCCTCATTTTAAAAATTTCTGTGAACTCTCTAAGCCACTATCAAGAAAGAATCATGTGTTTTCTGGCTAATCTGTCATACTTGATTATAAGAAGCTCTAAGTTACATGTTCACTTATGCAACACAACATATATTCCCTTCACAATTGCTCTGTTGGTAAATATACTACAGGAGAGATGCTATTTCAAGTTATAGTGTTAGGTCCAGTGTGGGGAAATTTTGGGAACTGACTACATCTGTTTGAGAAAAGCATTTGCTATCATTGATGCTGACAGAAAAGTGCTACACTGAGTGGCAGTCAAATTCCCTGTTACTGGATGAGTTAAAATGAAATTGTCACCTGGATTGAGGTATTAAAATGTTTTATGACTAAAATTTTACTGTGATGAAAACAGCTTACTGGTCTGCAAATTCCTTGGGGTCGTGCCTGAATGCATGACATAATTCATCATTTGTTGGTTCTACATAGGTAGGAAACTCTTGTGGTGGGTGTTTCAGGGCTGCCATACAGAGCTTCCGTTCCAAACCCTCTTCGTCACAGCACTCAGAGGTTCCTGGGTGCACTGGGAACGGACTGTCACTTTCACACGACTTGGCAGACAAGGCTGAAGTCTGAAATAAGAGGAGAGAAATAAGTGGCGGGGGAGGGGGTGAAATTCCTATTCAGTAAAACATTTCTTTTTGTAATTTAAAATTCTCATGAGTGCTAGTCAAGAATTTTGCTTATCTGAAAACTCACAGCTCCTTATGATTAAAGATGTTAAGGAATTGGAATGCTTAAAAAATCTTCTCTGTTTTAATCTTCACTGGCTTGGCTTGAGGAAAAATTCTCATTGGAGATGGGAAGATGGAACAATCCTAAACGTCTCAAGGATTCTTAGCAACAGCGTGATCCAGAAATGTGGCGCCCTTAACAAACATGGTCTTCAAGCCTCTAGTTGTGAAGTTCCATTACAGTGGATTTGTAGAAAGTCTAGGCTTTAAAGTATGGTCACTCTCAGTGCTAACTCTCACATCTGCTTTATAACCTCTTAAAAAGTAGGACTTGGCAACTGGTTTTGGGAGAACCACGAGTATGTGTGTACTGAATGAATTCTGATATTAAAGAATTCAAGACACGATAAAAAAAAATTCTCATGAGTAACCAACCATGCCAAGGCCTGCTTGAGGTGATTTATCAATATAACAAGCTACATAAGCTTGTGACATGCAACTACTGAGTCTTGTTCATGTTCATAACTGACTCTCTACTAGAGAAAACAAAAATAGAACTCTCACCAATAAATGTATGGGTTTTATCATTTTGCTGTCATTAGTGCTTTTAGCCAGTATCTCAGTATTTCTCTGTGGAGTTATTAGCACATCTGAGGATAAGGTAGTCCATTTGAAAAAGAACCTACCCCTACGACTTCTACTGTCTAAAGCAAATGCCCATTGATAGTGATGATCAGTCTCTGCTGATATTATCCCTCTGTTTTCCCCCTTATTAAATCAGCAGACTCTTCAGCTTGATTTTTCTAGTCTTCTTTATTGGTTTCCCTTCTTTGCACTTGTTTCTGCAAAACCACTCATTGTTTGGTGCCTTACTGTCAATTCAGACTCATAGCCATTCTATATACAAAAGATGGAGACTTTGTGTGAACCTGTGTCATCTTCACAGTCTCCCATGTACCCAAACCATCTATTTGCAGCCCCTGTGGTAATCCATCTCATTACAGTCTTCTCCTTTGTTGACTTTGTACTTTTCAAAACAGTATATCCTTTTCCAAAATATGTGAGACTATGTTTCACCATCCTTGCCTCTAAGGAACACTCTGATTGTACTTATTCCACGATAGATGTGGAATATTCAAACTCCACTGTCTCTGTACTTCAAAGGCATCAATGCAATTCAAAGGCATAAATTCTTCTTTGATCTTTCCTATTTATTGTTTAACTTTCATATAAATATGAAGCAAGGAAAATACCTTGTTGGGCAAGTTTCAGCATAGTCTTTCGTGTGACATCCTAATTCTTTAGCATTTTAAAGACATCGTGACAGAAGATTTGCTCAATGCAACACATAATTTGATTTCTTGACTGCTTCTTCAGTTATGGATCTAAGCAAAATGAAATCCTTGACAACTTGAATTTCTTCCCATTTATTATGATACTGCTTATTTGTCCAGTTGTGAGGATTTTTGCTTTATTTGTGTTGACTGAAGGCTATAGTTTTATCTTTCTTCAATAACTATCTCAATCCTATTTGCTTTTACCAATAAAGCTTGTGTGATCTGAAAAAGGCAGGGTATTGATAAGTTTTGCTCCAACTCTGATGCCACTCATAGTAAGAAATAAGTAAGAAATGGCTCAAGTAAGAAATAGGTTGGCTGTGAATTACACAAATTCTGAATCAGTAGGTAAAAAGTCTCATTGCCTTCATGGAGTTTATTCTGACTCAGAGCAATCCTCGAGTAGGTTGTGAGGCTATAATTTTTAAAGGAGGGAAGTCCATCTTTCTTTGGAGGAGCCTCAGGTGTATTCCAACCACCAGAGGGTCGGGGCCATTTATTTAGCAATTTAACACACTGTGTAGTATGCCTAAGAATTTGGTTTTACCCAAAGCATCAAGGTTTATTCTCATATGCAGCAAGGGGTGAAAAAGAAAGTATAATCTAATTTGCAATCACAACTTTGATTCAGATGATTTTACTAAATCCAAGTGTAGCACACCAACAAATCAGTGGAATTGAAAAAAAATATTGTTGAGAATAGTTTAATATTTTTTAGGAATATAAACAGTTATCAAGGGAAAAGCTAAGACTTTACCTAACATCTTAACATTTAGTTTACAGTTTAGTGATTTTGTAAGACAAACATTTCAAAAGATCTTTCACCTCATGTTGTTGTTGTTATGTGCCATCAAGTCACTTGTGACTCATAGCGACCCTATGTACAAGAGCTCTAAATGCTGTTCTATCCTGTGCCAACCTAGCCATCTCAAACGCACTCATTCTCACCACCTTAGTCACAGAATCTATCCATCTCATGGAAGGTCTTCCTCTCCTGCGCCGTCCCTCCACTCTCCCAAACATGATGTCCCTTTCCAAGGACCAGTCCCTCCTTGCAACATGCCCAAAGTATGTCAGACAAAGCTTCAGAATCCTTGACTCCAAGGAGCATTCTAGCATCACCTTCTCCAGGACAAACCTGCTTGTTCTCCTAGCAGTCCATGGGATATTCAACACTCTTCTCCAGAACCACAGCTCAAAGGCATCAATTCTCTATCATCCCTATTCACTGTCTAACTCTCTGACGTATAGCACGTAATTGCGAAGACTATAGCCCAGATCAGGTGCACCTTAGTCTCCAGCCTGATGTCGTTGCTTTTCAGTACTCTTGAGAGGTCCCTCACAGCTCATAGATGAAGATAATACGATGAATTGATGAGTTTATTATAAAAACGACAAACATCTTCTGAGGGTCCACCACACCTACCCTCCACCAAACTTTCAGATTGAGAATTAGGTGTTCTCTTTTCTACTCCTTTTCTCTTTTTTTCCAGTGAATTTTGTATTACTGTCCAATTCCCCCCCCCAGCAAACTTTCTATTATTCCTTTTTTATTACCATGTTTCAAATAAAAAGAAGAGGTCTGGTGGCATAGTCCACAGGGAATTGTAGTGCTAACTGAAGTCACACTTTTTTGATGGTTCCTATTCACAAGTGACTCAGAGGGAGAAAAATGAGTGGTGTCCTCCTATCATGTCCACAAGCTCAGAAAACCAACAGAGGTTTAAATATGAATCCATCTCTACCAAAGAACAATGAAAGGGTTGTTGGGGTGTTCCTCCCCAAATAAAAGAGACTGAGAAAGGAAAAAGGATCAATGCATTGAAAAAATATTTTGTAAAAGTATGAGAAAAAATTTTAAAAGTTCAATGTTTCTGAATTGTGTGTACAATCCTGGAATTTCATCTCTGATCTAGAGATGCTTTAGCAAGATTTCCTAACAATTAAGTGAAACAAACCAGAAAGGAAACAAAAGAAATGATGTATTTATTGTTTTAAACATGTTTAGGAAAATGTTTATTTTAAGATGGTTTGGAAGGTCAAGTTAAAAATTTGTTACCATGGTGGTGAAAGGAACTGATTATAAAATTTGTAAAATATAAATAAGGACTAGATAAAACAATTAATGGCTAAGATTAATCATGATGCAGAATGGATTCTAGTTAGATCTTCTTGTTTTTGTCTGCCAGCTAATTGTTTATGGTTGGAGTACTGAGATTTTTTCAGTAGAAGTCTTTATCAAAATGAGTATCATTGTCATTTTCCCCCCCAGATCTCACTACTACCTTTAGTAACTTGCTTAAGTTTCTGTAGCTTTACTCTATCATTCACAGCTTATGGTTTGAGAAAGTTCTGCTACTAACTCCAAAGTCACATCTCTAGTGACTTGAATCTCTCAGCTTTACAAGAGAAAGATAACAATCTGTTCCTTTTCAATTTGTTGCTTTAGAAACACACTGGAGGGTCAGTTGTAAGTCAATTCTTACTCGGTAGCGATGAGTTTGAGTTTTGGGGTTTATATTTTGATGTCAGTCTTTTCAACATTTTAATTTCTTAATGTGGTGATTTTTGTTGGATGCTATCAAGTTGTCTGCATCTCACAGAGACCCTGTGAAAACCATATTAGAACACTTTACTATCTGGCTCCATTCTCGTAATCTCTGATATACTGAAGCTTATTGTTAGAGTCATTGTGTCAATCCATATTGCTGGGAGTTCCTCTCTTTCTCCTACTCTCCAACTTTTCCAGAGTGACATCGTTTTCCAATAACTGGCCTTTCTGAAAAACACACCCAGAGCGTGTGAGACAAAGCTTCATTTGCCTTTAATGAACAACCTGTTTTCATTTCCTCCAAAACAGACTTGTTTGTTGTTTTGGCAGTTCATGGGATGTTCATTAGTTTTCTACAGCATCACAACTCTAAGACTTCAATTCTTTGTCATCCTTACTCAGTGTCCAACTTTCAGATGCGCAGGAAGTAATTGAAAAGACCATGGCTTGACTCATGTGCATCTAGATTTTTAAATTGGCATCCTTGTTCTTCAGCACTTTGGAGAGGTCTTTGACAGAACAACAAATTTCACTAATGCAACACATCTTTTGACCAACTCAGAAGACATTTCTGTTGAGACAGAAATAACTTATAGTTGATAAAATATTGGAGTTCTGACTATACTACCAGAACTTCTTATAATATGTTGTTGTGTGCCATGAAGTCAGAATTAACCTTTACATGACCCTCCAGTGGGAGATTTTCAGAGGCAGTAAATTGCACCAAAGGAGATTTCCCATTTTTCTCCTATGGAGCAGCTGGTGGATTCAAATCAAGTACCTGTGTAATGTTTTTGAAATTCCTTGTCACTAAGCCACCAAAGCTCCCTATACATAATAAATTGTTGTCATATGTACCTCTAACCCTGCTCTATCCTGTGCCAAATTTATTATCTCGGACACATCTACCACTGTTACCCAGTCACTGAATCAGTCTATCTCAATGAGAGTCTTCCTTTCTTGCTCTATTCCTCCACTCTACCAAGCATGATGTCCCTCTCCAAGGACAA